AAAAAAAAAAAAAAAAAGCTAGGTTGTTTCTAGGTAACCTAGAAAAGGTGTGTTGTGTCCCTTTCGGAGGTGGAAGCAAACTGCAGCTGAGAGACTGTTGAAACAGGCATTAAACAGAACATATTAATCTATAAGAGCAAAATATTTACTGACTGTTGACATAGTAGAATCAATAATATTAATAATTTCACATATTGGGTAGGGAGTCTTGATAGATGGGACCACACCAATAAGGTGGTAATAAGCCATCTTGATAAACCCTTTTAAAATTTATTTATTTCAGATTTAAGAGCAATCAAAAGTCAAAATGGTCTGCTAAATGGAGAAGCATTGAGAATAATCACTTCTTTATTAACTGCGTTTCATGTAATAAGTTTTAAGCTTTGCAGCCCTCATTTTAGCTTACATTGAGCCATATGAAGTTTTTTATCTGGGTGTTCATGGAATCTCATTTCATCAAGCCAGTTTTTAACAGCCAAAGATTTGCTTTGATTTAAACTCATTATTTGTTGTGTCACAGCATTTATTTCCAGCATGGTATATGTTACAGCGCTGGGTACTATGACTGTGAGAAATTTAGGCAAGGCAACAAATGAAGGCATATCTATTTTTTCTCTATTATATTTAGTTACCATTTTAAGAATATAGGGGGCACAATGTTTAAATTTATTGAGGAGCCCAGGTATAATTTGAGCCCCAGTATTGATTAAATCCCTAGATTTTTTTTCAATTTTGGTGCATTCTATCAGTTGTTAAAGTTATAATCTATGTTGCAGAGGCACAAAAACCAAACCACACCCTTTTTAAACATTTATTTTTTTAGACAGGGTCTCACTCTGTTGCCCAGGCTGGAGTGCAGTGGCATGATCCTAGCTCACTGCAGCCTCAGACTTCTGGGCTCAAGCAATGCTCCTGTGTCAGCCTCCCAAATAGCTGGGACTACAGGCATGGGCCACCACTCTCAGCTAAATTTTTAAAATTTTTTGTAGAGATGGGATCTTGCTTATGTTGCTCAGGCTGGCTTCAATCCTCCCACCTCGGCCTCCCAATGTGCTGGGATTATAGGTGTAAGACATCATGTCTTGCCTAAACCTTTTTATTACAAAAATTTCAAACTTCCAATTGGATCAAAGTGTGGAATTTTGCTTTTACATATTGTATATACACAATCATACATTAATATCAAAATATATGTATATATAATTTATTATGCATCTTTTATTTTATCCCCTTTTATTAGGGGATTATTTATAAATCGATAAGTAATCTAGGGCTAGTATTTTGCTTGCTATAGCTGATGTTTCCTCAATTCTTAAAGTTGAAGTTCCTCTTTGTTTTTTTTCTTTGAACTTGAAGCCACTGAAAGCAGCAGTAATTTTTCCTTATTTTGTTTTGTTTTAGGTTTTTAGCCTCCTGACACTGTGGTTCATAGTTTCTGTATCTGGTTGATTAGAGGAATATAGGGAGGAGGAAGGGACCTGGCGTCTCTAGGCAGTAACCTTTCCCCGGGACAACCCCCAACAACAGGACAATGAGCCTCCACCATTCTTTGCTTTTAAGTAAAATCTTTAGAATGGCTTGTATTTCTAGGTGGCTAAAAACATTTTCTTTTCTCTCTCTTTTTGGATGTTTACCTAACAAGCTCCTGGTTGTTCGAAGTGGCTCCTGTTGTGAACAGTGGCCTCCATTTGTGGTTTTCATTGGTCCTGTTGTAGGTAGCTGCCTTGCTCTCCAAGGCATCCCAATCAGCATCATCTGGATTTGGATCAGCCTCCACTAGTGCAACAGTGGCAGGATCACTTGGCAAGGCCCCAAGCCCTATTTCTTTAGTAGTTTGCTAACCTCCTCAGAGATCATGGGAGAGTTGGCAAAGAAATGTTCTGGCCTTTTAATTTGAATCATTAAGTTCTTTGTCGTCACACACAATGGGGTTAAACCAACAGGGTAACACAGAGGATAAGGGGATCAAGAGTGACAGAAGGAAGAGAAGACAGAAACATATGGATTGTAGATCCCAGTGCCACTGCTGCCAGTGAGATGCTGTCATCTCCCCAGTGAAGTAGGCACCCCTCTTGTCATGCTGGAAAGTCTAGCCCCAGATACTGCCTCACCAATTCAGTGTGTAGTCAGAGTACATCTTCCTCTTGCCATCTACTAAGGCTTACACTGGCCCAGTATCTTCCTGACAGCCCCTTAGCACAGGTTACTCCCTTTAGCTTCTCAGTAATAAGCCATTCGAATCTGGGCAAGGCCTTCAGAATACAGTCAACTTAACTGTGACTAGTAGTTCCCATTCAGGAGAGTGATAGTGATCATGGTTGCCTCTCTTGCTGTACTAAGGCGGGTGATTGTTGGTTCTTGGGGAGAACTCCGACTTTCTAGGGCACACTCAATTTAGGGAAGGGAGTTTTGGCGGTAGTTGATAAAGACAATAAGCAGCAGTATGCAGCAGCACAGACACACATCAACAAGCCATGGAGCCTTCTCAAATGGTGTTAGCCAGGTGAGAGGGCCAGCTAACAAACCAAAAGCAGTCTAAAGGCATTTTGTTGTGTATCTCGTGGTCATGACCACTCTGCTTGATGCACTAATTGCTCTATCTATCTGTCTGTCTGTCTGTCTATCTATCTACATTATATAGCAAGGGAGGTTGTCCTGGATGTTTACAATGTATCTCTTACGGGATACCTCTTTATCCTGGAGGACAGCCTAATGCCTAAGAGTCCAACCCACTTGACCATGATCAGGTGTCCTTTTGATAAGAAACATGTTTATACTGGAAGATTCCCTTGTGGCTCTTCTCTGATCTCTGTCCAGTTTATTTCTATCAAGATAGTCACTCTCTAGGAAAGCTCTAACCAGGAGGAGAGTTAGATTCAGGTGTGATGGTCAGGTGAGACACAGAAGAGGCAGCACACACACACAAAAAGGATATATGAAATAACAAGCAGTTTTATTACTTACAGATCTCTGAGAGAAGAGGGCAGCATGCCTCACAGGGCAATTGGGAAATGGGGAGTTTTTCAAGATATGTATGCTCCAACAGTGGGTGAAGAGCAAGAGAGAGGGAGTGAGGAACCTAAGGGCCAAAGCCTTTATTGAGGTCCAGGATGTTACCCAAGCAGGTTTCCTAAGGAGAGTTCTAATTGTGGCTTTAAAACAAGCAGGCACATGCTCCATGAAGGCATGCTGTAACTGAGAGGTGGTCACTGTGGTGCATCTGCACAGTCAGTGCAGAGTGTGGAGGTCTGTGGGTGAGTCAAGTAGGTTGTATTGAGCTATTCCAGAGCAAGATGGTCACCAGGAGATGGTTGCATAAGGCAGTCATCTGGATCAACCAAATTGAGGAACTAAGAGGAGATAGAAAACTGCAAACTGTTAAGGGTGGCTAAGCCCTGCTTCTGGCATAAGAAAGTCCAATTTATGCTTAAAAAGGATACTGAGGCAACATAAAATTATAAATATTCACTAAACTGTTTTCCATAGCAGTCATACCATTCTTCCTACCAGTAGTGCACAAGAGTTCTAATTTCTTCACATTCTTGCCAATGCTTGTTATTTTCTGTTCTGTTTGTTTTGTTTTCAGAGTAGACATCCTAATGGGTGTGAGGTGGCATCTCACTGTGGTTTTGTTTTGCATTATTCTAATGATTACTGATGTTGAACATCTTTTCATATGCTTGTTGGACATGTATATATCCTCTTTAGAGAAATGTCTTTTCAAATTCATTGCCCATTTTTCAATCAGGTTGGTTTTTTTGTTGTTTTGTAGAAATTCTTTATATATTCTTGATATTAGCTGATTATCAGATACATGATTTTCAAATATTTTCTCCTATTCTGTAGGTTGCCTTTTCAATTTGTTGACTGTCCTTTGATAGTTTTTTATTTTGATTCCGTCCAATTTATACCTACATTTACTTTTGTTGACTGTGTCTTGGTATCACTTATATCCAAGAAATCACTGCCAAATCCAATGTCATGAAGCTTATCTTCAATATCTTACTCTAAGAGTTTATAGTTTTAGCTCTTACATTTAGGTCTTTGATCCATTTTGAGTTAATTTTTGTATATGGTGTATACATTCTTTTGTATGTGGATTTCTAGTTTTCTCAACACCATTTGTTAAGGAGACCATCCCTTCCCCATTAAATAAACTTGGAACTCTTGTCAAATATCATCTGGCCAGTTCCATTCATGTTGTTGCAAATAGAACAGGGTGTCTATATTCAATAACTTAATTGTACATTTTAAAATAATGTAAAGAGTGTAATTGGATTGTTTGTAACCCAAAGGATAAATGCTTGAGGGGATGGATACCCCATTATTCATGACGTGCTTATTTCACATTGCATGTCTATATGGAAACATCTCATGTACCTTATATACACCTACTATGTGCCCAAAACATTTAAAAATGAAAAAAAATCCTTTGACCATATATGCAAGGATTTGTTTCTGAGCTCTCTATTACATTGGTCTATATATGTGTCTTTATGCTTAATTTTTACATAAGTTGTAATCTTTGAAAGTCCTGTTTTAACTTACATAGGGACATATTAACTATTTTAACTGGAGGTTTGTTGGGTCCCATTTTATCAAGTCAATGTGTAAGTGCCAAAGACTTAATTTAATTCTAATTTTTAATTGATTATGCTGTAGCATCTATGCTCAATATTGAATATTTTAGATCAGTGGGTACTATAACCATGGAAAATGTAGGCAAGTCTACAGTAAAAGTGAAACATATGTGTTTTTCCTCTATTTTATGTTTGGTTACTTTTCTAAGATTATAAAGGATATAATGTTTATTGTTTCCTTGCTGCTGTTGCGATTCATCTCCAGACCCAGTGGGTGTAAGAGATCACAACCTTGGAAACCAGAGGTGCAATGCTTTATGGAAAAGAAAAGGGGGAGAGAGCACTTTATCCCTGCTCTGCTTAAGACCCCTGACGAGGTCATGCAATTGATTGAAGATAAAGAGCTCCAGGTATAACTATAATCTGAGCCCTAGGAATTGATTAAGCCTATGGAGCTTTGTTCATTGGTGCATTTTAGCAAGTGTTTATTATTTATGTTTACATGATTGTTATATACAATTTGTTATATAAATTTTTAGTAAATTTTAGTACCTAAATTTTGGATTTCTAATTGGGTCAAATTCTGGATGTGTGTGTGTGTGTGTGTATATATATATATTTCATATATATATATATTTCATATATATATATTTCATATATATATATGAAATCCAAATTTATATATTTTAATATACTTTGTATTTTTATAGTAATATGTGTGTATACATATTACTACAAAATACAAAGTATATTAAATATACAAAGTATTACATATTTATACATGTAATTTCTATTACCTTTTATTTTCTCCCTCTGTATTTAGGAGTTTTAGCTTTAGCTTTTTTGTTTTTTTCTTTCTCTACTTTTTTGTGTGTGAGGTGGAGCTTCTAGATGCCTAAAGCCACCATTTTTAGTTTTTGTCTCTTGTTGAAAACTCTGTGTGGTTTAGGTATTTACAGAAAGAGAGAGAGAGGGAAGGGGACCTGTAGCCTACTTTCAGGCAGCTTTACTTCCAAGCTTTTCGATACACCTTCCAGGAATTGGGGTTTGCACCTATGGAGCTATAGCAGTCTCTCCTTGGGACAGTTATCCTCCTTGTCTGAAGTGTCAATTCTTTTTCATTTCCCTTCCTCCCTACCTCCCTTCCTCCCTTCTCTTTCTTTTGCTTTGGTCTCATCTGCCTTTATTTTTTCCTTTAAGCATCTACCAAATGAAGTCCTAGGGGTCCTGAGCAGGCCTGTACAGAGTGGCAGCCACCCTCTTTAGAGGGTCCACATTGACCTCTGAGAGATCTGGGTCCATGTCCAGGAGAGTGACAGTGGCCTTATCAGTATTTTTGAGGTTCCAGATTTGTGAGCATAAGGCTCCTGGCATACAACATTCAAGAAGTGCAGGAGATCAGAGTGGTGGGAGAAACTAGGGAACGGAGCAGGTCTTCTGAAAGGTTGGAAGGTTTTGCATAGCTTTGGGGGAGAATAGCTGAAGGCAGCTGTTTTCTAACCCTGAGGCAGAGGTCGAGGAGTAGGTACAAGGGAGTGTAGGGGACTTTATCTTAAACAGGCTTGTTTACTTATGTTGACCAGGAGCTGACCTTTGATCATCCACGTGTATGACGTTCCATGAAAGGGGAATAATAAATGTTAATTACTTACAGGTTGTGTGGGCTCCAGGTTTTTGGTATTGTGCCTGCACTGAATAAAATCAAGCAGCTCCAGCTTCTGAGGGCTGCTGCACTTTTGCCACTAGAGCCAGGCAGTTCCCTAGCTGCTCTTACACTGCATACCTGTGTCTGAGTACTCATTTCATCTGTTGGTCGGCCAGGGTCTGTGAGACAGCCCTGGCAAAGAAGGTCCATGCATATTATTGAGGTATTTTATATTCCTCAATCAATTGCATGACCTTCTCAGGGGTCTTAAAGAGATCAAGGATAAAGTGCTCTCTCCCTCTTTCCTTTTTCATTGAGCATTATGCCTCCGGTTTACAAGGGTGGGATCTCTTGCACACCCCTGGGTCAGGAGATGAACTGCAACAGTAGCAAGGCAAGCAACACCACAAGAACACCTTTTGCTGGGTGCCATGCCATGACCCTGAGGTGGAACTCCTCACACTTACTGTGTGTGGTTTGCAACACGAGGGTCTCCAAAGGGCACCCTTCCTACTCAACAGGGCAGGCTA